ATCATTTATGAGAGATTAGAAGAATCGGTACTTACTACATTTTTTGAGCACTGATTTTGGCTAGTTTAAAAATCACCAAAAAGTGGTGTAATGTAATTTTGATCGATTCTCTCAATCTATCAAATTGGCGGTTATTGGCTGTTTCGTAATTTTTTTTTCTAATTTTATCCTTTATAAATAATTATTTCCAGTAAATATATTTTGTTTAATACTAACTTATAAATAAAAATATGTTGATTAAAAAAACTATTTATAAGCAAAAAATTATATTATAATTTAAAAATTACGTATTAGTAAAGTAATAAAAAAAATATATTTTTGTATAAAAATCTTACTAGTAAGTCAAAAAGTCAATTATAAAATATAAAAAGTTACTTATAAATAAAAAAATTTGCTTGTGTATAAAACTTATCTGAAAGGACAAAATTAACTTATAATTATAAAGCCTATAACATAAAATTTTAAGTAAATATTTAAATTAAATATTAACTTTTTATGTAAAAAACATTACATATAAGTCAAATATTACTTATAAGTGGAAAACTTCATACAAGAAATCATAACAAACAGATTTCCTTATGATTTTAATACCGTCACCAACACCTAACACAATAACAACTAGGGATGGCAGAAATCTCTATATTCAACCTTTCTCGCCTCTCGAAAACCCTTGACGAGACAATGATATTGGCAATCCCATTGCGAACTCTGACACTAACTAGTTTTGATAAAAATAGAAGGAATTAAGTTGTTATTGTGGCATCGGATTGGAGGGAAATACATTTAGGATAATGTTACCATTTTAGTAAGATAATACGTAAGCTTTGTGTGGTTTTTTTAATGTCTAAATAAACGTTTCCGATGAGTATTAAAAAGTTGGGGGTATTGGTGCCCCAAACAGAAGGTAAGGGAAATATCAGCCACACTTAGAAACGATTGAGGACTCCTGGACAAATTTACCCAAAAATAAAGAAATTTAAAATATACAGGCAAACGCAGGAAATAAACAATCGGCGCCTCATCCAACTCCACGGCTCCACCACCACCACCCACGCACGGCGGTCTACGATAGAAGAATCAACAATTCCAAGGCCTCTGGAAAGTATTGTAGAAGGTAACCATATTTTGAAATTTTTGTACATATTTGAAAATTTGCAAAACTGTTTCTCGGTTAATAGTTACTTGATATCTTTGAATTGGGTTCTAATTTTGAAAATTATAAAATCTGCGGTTTATTAGATTTTTATTTTTACACTTCTACCTCCACCTTGGGTTTATTGATTCTGAATTGGGTTTCAACTTTTTGCCCTGAACTCCTGAATGTTGAGGTAAATTAGAATATCCCAATATGAATATTTGTTTCTTTAGAATATCTAAAGTTGAATTCCTGAGTGTTGGCAAACTTTGTTATATGTTATCTCGTTTGATTAAAATTGCATTTTTGTTGCATTACTTTGCCTTTCTTACGTTTCATGAAATATTCGTGTTATTAATTCGTATGAAATGTGAAGGGAATGAATATATGCCCGCTGCGATTTATACTCTGCTTAAATTATATCAATCTGGCCGTCTGTTTAATAAAAATGGCCTTCGGTACTGATATTAAATGGTTTTGCAATTTAATCAGATTCAAATCTCCATTCGCCCAGTGTAGATATTGGGAATCTTTTGTGCTTTAGTTTCGACCTTTTTTTAAGTCTTTGATAGGTAAAAAGCCATGTCTTTTTGCTTCTCGAGTGTTGAGTCCTTGAGTATTGTGTTCTGCATTATTTTTTTTCCATAAATTTCGTAATTTCATCTGTTGAGTAGGTGATTGACGTTTTGTGAACAACTTGTTTTCTTTCATAAATTCTGTGATTCTGTGTTTCACCTAGGCACCATTTTCTTCAGTTAAATCCTCTTTTTCCTCCTTTAATTCTAAAGTTTTGTTCTATGTGAAGTATTTCTTTGGTTGATTTATTTTTAACGTACCCCTTTTATTCTCAAATCTTATATATGCTAAAACTCAAAATTAAATAACTATTCTAGTTATATTTATGTATGTGTTTACTGGTAGAGCATTTATAATCCCTTTTGTGCATAGTTGGGATGTTAAAGATATAAAAGTTAATTATTTTCTTTTTCTTGTTAGTTTTTACAGCCAATAATAAAGGTGTTGACTTGGATACATCTGTCAGGTTTGTATCAACGGTTGTGTGATATTTTGTGGCTGCCAAGTATCATGGTTTTGTGGTTTCAATGGTTTTTTTAATTAATGTGGTGCTTTTTATCTCCCACCTCATTCATTTAGTACCTGAACCGGAAGATTCTATACCATGCTACTCCCTATCTATTATTTTAGTTGTTTAAGAATATCACACTTGCTCAACATGGAGTGTTTGTATAGAAAGTAGAATGGAAATTTTTCTTTCCTTGTCTCATTTGGAAAATTTATTCTTGCTATCTATTCAGCAAAAATTCTTGTTCCCTTTTTCTAGAATGTTTACTATGTTAATGAGTTAATACTTCTCGAATTATCCCATTTCTAGTCAATCAAAATGTTTCAATTGTTCTATTTCTATTTCTTCTTCTTGATGGAGTTCTTCTAAGTTCTAATTGATATATGTCATCAAATTTGATAGTGATGATTTCAATTTTCTTTTATGTAATTGTTTCATTTATTCATTGTCCAGGAATGCATTTGTTAGTTGATTGTTAGCCATTTAAATGGAATGATATTTATAGAGGATTGACTTCTTTTTGAACAGATTGCTCTTTAGATGATGTGTATTAATTTGAAGAATCCTGTTAGATTTGGATTTTCCTGAATGACTAGAGTTGAATCAGAATACCTGTTTACAGTGTTTGGTGTTATTTGAAAGATATGATGTTTACCTTGTGTTGCCTATAGGAATTTGCGGTATGTTTCGCAAGTGGATTAGAGTTAAAGTTGTGTTCATTGTATGGTCGAGAACGGTTTAATATTGTATACCAAACGTGAACTTGAAGTAGTGTTTATGTGCAATGGCCAATGGTTTTTTTAAAATGTGAAGATCTGACATCAAACTGTTGAAATTCTCTTAAAAAATATTATCCAAGCCCCCTGGCTGGTTCATCTTGGATCAACCCGTCTGTTGGGTAATTGACTGATGGGGGTAGTGAACAATTTGTGTTTTCATTCTGTAATTTTTTTTTATAATTCCCATAGCAGTTCAGGTTATGCATAATTTTTACCTTAAATAATATGGTCTCCCGTTGGTGCATTGCAACTGTTAAACGTTTTTCATGCAATTCAATATTTGTTTCACAATTAGCCGTTTCCCCTAGCAATAATTACAATCTAACCAGTAATTTAATTTATTTGAATAAAATGTTAAATAGGCTTTTATATTCTAAATGTGTAATGTATTTTGTGTTTCTTCGTTTGCTTCTTTTTCTATGTGGCTTTTTGCCATTTTGTTGTAAACATGCTCTTAGTTGTGTACAAGAGTAGCTGAGGATGGAAATGCATATTATGGAATTGTACACTATTGATGCATTACCTATACAACGCACATTGATTTTAGGAATTTGTTAAAATTACTGTGGCCCATATAGAGAACCTCCTGGATTTTGCCTTACATTAAAATTCTTACCTTGATTCTGGTTTGATCCGGTTCTAAGAAACTGGACTCAAAGATATCATGCCCAAATTTAATTGCAGCTCATGGTGCTGACTGCTGCTCACAATCGCAGAGTCACTATTGTTCTCATCTGGCAAGACTGGAGGAGAAAGCAATAAAATGTTATTGGAAATATTTTTTCAGTTTCACTCACAGTATCAGTTTATATGTTCAGATTTTAGGGGGGCATTCCTTGTACCAAGATTTCAAAAATCTCAATCCTTAATTTAAGTGGATCTAACAGACCACTTTTATTTCATTAAAACAATTAAAAATTTTCAAATGGGTCTGTCCAACACCAATTAGGTAAATACCCTCCCCACCCTCCTTAAATCTTGCGTACCCTGTTGCCACATTCTCTCTCTCCTCTCTCTACATATATGTATATATACATATACATATTGAACTTGTGATACACGGTTTATATTTACATATTAATGGTGCTTTTGGTTGGCTAGATAGAAATTGAAATGGATCCACAGTTTTGTGAATTTTCAACTTCTTCAAACGGAATTGATTTAAAATTCAGTCATTGGCCCAAATAAGAAGCTAATCAATGAAGATAGGTTTGAAAGTACCTTACTGGAACACAAGTTGAAGGTTTCCAATTAATTCAATATGAGCCCTTTTAATAATAGTGCATGTTATTGTGATTTCTGAAATATAGTTTTAAAATACATCATATATTAATATGATCATTCTTATGAAAGAATGTATAGTGCATATATATATAGAGAGAGAGAAACTCATCCTATGTCTATATCAATGTATAGCGTGTGTATAGAAGAGAGAGAAAGAGGGGGGGGGGGGGGGGGGGGG